TTGCGCTCTCGCTAATGTGTGTGAGAAAGTGTGTGGTCTGTCCGGGAAGAGTTCTGTTAACGGCCGTATGTCGAACGGGCATACCAGGACGTCTGTCATGCGAGGAATTGTTGGGTGTCCTGCTGGGCCCGGTGTGGGGCCAAGGTCGCCTGCTGGGAAGTCCGGGTTGCCCCTTAGTGGCAGCAGCGGGCCTGGATCCGTCGTCAGGTAGTGTTTTGTGCCCTGCCTGTGCCAGATCCGCATGGTTGCCGCCACAAAGGGGTTTGTGATGCGTTTGCGCCTGTACGCCGCGGCGGATATCCAAGGCAGTGTCCGGAGGTCGCAGTTGGTGGTGTCGGATTCCAGTTGGGTCCATGGTTTTGTGCCACTGGCTACCGTCCAGCTTATGACTCGTGTAAGATGTGCTGCGTGATAGTAGCGTTCGAAGTCGGGAAGCGCTAGACCTCCTCGGAGTTTGGGTAAAATGAGCTGGGTGTATGCTATGCGCGGGGGTCTGCCCTTCCATATAAACGTGCAGACCTCTGCCTTCAATGTCTTGAAGAATGTTTGTGGGGCTTGTATCGGTACTGTTTGAAACACGAAGAGCAGTTTGGGTAGCAGTGTCATCTTGACCGCATTTATCCTCCCTAGCCATGAGATGTAGTATGGGCTCCATCTACGCAGTTCCTCCGTCACTTTTTTCAAAATGGGGAGGTAGTTTTGGGTGTACAGGTCCGCCGGATTGGGTGTAAGCCAAACCCCCAGGTATCGCATGCGTTGGTCGCACCAACGGTATGGGTAGCGTCTCTGCAGTGTGTGGCTGTCCGTGTGTTTGACGGTCAAATTCAGTATCTCTGATTTTGAATAATTAATTTGTAGGTTTGAGATTCGTCCGTATTCCTCAAATTCTGTCTGTATCGCTGGTAGGGACATTTCTGGGTTCGTGACCACGAACAGCATATCATCTGCGTATGCTAGCGTTTTGTGATGTGTGTTTCCGATGGTAAGCCCCTGGACGGCGTCATTGTGCCTGATCCTGTTGAGGAACGGCTCCAGCGTCAGTGCAAATAATAGTGGTGATAGTGGACAGCCTTGTCTAGTCCCGTTGTGTATCTGGAATGGGTCCGTTAGTGCACCGTTGATCCTGATTCGTGCCGTCGGGTCGGTGTATAGCGCCCTCACCCATATGCCGTATCTCGGTCCCACTCCCGCGGCGTGGAGGGTTTCCATCATCATGTCCCAGTCCACCCGGTCAAATGCCTTCTCCGCATCTGTAGATAAGAGAAGGGTTTGGTTCTGTTGGGTTCTGACGTGCGCTATGATGTTCAGGGCTCTGATAGTGTTGTCCCTTACCTCCCTGCCCGGGATGAATCCTGTTTGATCCGGATGTATTGTGGCCGGTAGCAATGGTGCTAGTCGTAGTGCCAGTATGCTGGCCAGCAGCTTGATGTCGGTGTTCAGTACTGATATTGGGCGGTAGCTTGAGCATAGTGTTGGGTCTTTTCCTTCCTTTGGGAGTAGGGTGATATTCGCCGAGGTAAATTGCGCGGTTGGTGTGGCTCCCTCTTGTATGGAGTTCAGGGCTTTCAGTAGGTGCGGCACGACCTCTTGTGTAAAAACTTTGTAGTATTGAAGGGGTAGCCCATCTGGCCCTGGTGCCTTGCCCGTTTTTGCCTTCTTGATGGCATACGCCAATTCTTCCGGCGTGATGGGGGCTTCTAGTGCTTCTCGGTCCGTCTCTGATATTTCTGGCATATGCGCCGAGCCTATGTATCTGCGTACGTCAGCGAGTTTGCTCGATTGCGATTCTCCTGGTTCATCTTGTCTGAGGTGGTATAGGCCTTGGTAATATGTGCGGAATTCTGTCGCAATCTGGTCCGGGAGGTGCTTAAGTCGTTGCTGCGTGTCTTTGATCTTTGGGATGTACAGTTGGGTTTTACGTTGTTTCAGAAGGTTTGCCAGCAGCCTTCGCATTTATCCCCGTGTTCATGTATCATGTGTCTGTAGTGCTGGTATGAACGTTGAATTGCTCGATTGAGATGTGCGGTGAGTTGGTTTCGTTTGGCCGTGAGTTCCTGGTATGTCGTTGCGTCCAAGGTGCGTTTGTGTCTGGTCTCCAGGGTTGCGATGTCTCTGTTAAGCTCGAGCGTTTCCTGCATTGCTGCTTTCTTGCGGGTTGCGCATAGCGCGATGATCTGGCCTCTGATTACCGTCTTGTGTGCTTCCCAGCATGTTAGTGGCGTTACGTCTTCTGTCTCATTGGTTTGGAAGTATTCTCGTATGGAGTTACTAATCTTATCTGTCACTACCATGTCCGAGAGGATCGATTCGTTTAGTCTCCATGACATCTGCCGGGGCCTGTATAGCGGCGATTTCAGCCGCATTCGAATCGGGCAGTGGTCCGACCAGGTCATTGGCAGGATCTCCGCGGCGTTTAGTAGGTTCAGATTATGGTGTGTCATTAGAAAATAATCCAGTCTTGTGTATGTTAAGTGTGCCGATGAGTAGAAGGTGAAGTCCCTGGCAGTTGGATGCAATGCTCGCCAGCAGTCTGCCAGCTGGTGTTGGTGTAGGAGGCGGAGTGTTTTCGCATGTCTGTTTTGCGGTGTTGCTCCTTGTGGGGACGTGGCGTCCTGATCCGGGTGTAGTGCCAGGTATAGGTCTCCTCCGATGATCAGGGTGCCTTCCGTAAACTTCATCAGGGAAGCCACAGTGCTCCGGAGGAAGTGGTATTGTTTCGTGTTTGGGGCATAGATGTTGGCGAATGTGTAGGTTTGATCTGAGATAGTGCCTTTAGTGAAAATATATCTGCCTTGTTTGCATCTAAGGGTGGCTTGTTCTATGTACGGGATTCTGCTGGAGAATAGTATGCATACTCCCTGCGTTCGTCTATCTGGGTTGTTACTGAAGTACCCCGTTCGAAAGTTTCGGTCCTTCAGTGCCGGGGCCCTGTTCTCCTGAAAGTGCGTTTCTTGGATGAACGCTATCGACGTCCTGTATTGTTTCAGGTCCCTCAGGAGTCTTGTGCGTTTTTCTCTAACATTGAGGCCCTTTACATTGTAGGAGATTATATTTAAGTCCTCCCTGGTGAACACGCTGGGGACCGGGGCCGGCATCATCCGGGCGGCCGCAGGGGACGGACGGACAGCAGGGAGGGGGAGGAGGGGGTGTAGGTGTGTCTGTGGTATGCACGTATGTGGTTTGTGATGTTTGTGATGGTATTCTAGGTTTGGCTGGGGTGTGGGTGGGCCCTTCGTGGGTCCGCTTTATCTGTTGGGTTTCTGTGGTCTGTCCAGTAGTGGACAAGTATCCCGGTGAGTTGACCAGTGTGCCTAACCGACTGGTGGGCACTGGTCGTTTCCGGGAGTTGTACGCCCCCTATATATCGGGGGTTTCTGTGTCCTATACCTTTGGGGGGGTCGGGCAACTTGTCCGTGATGGACTGGTTCGTCTCATGTCTTGAGAACTAGGTCTTACTGTTTGTGGATTTTGGTCCTTCGTCTCTTAGGTGGCTGTGTGGCTGAAGCTCAGTCCGCTTTGTGTTTCGTTCTGTATGGGGTTTGAGGCCATGGGCGTGTGGTGTGCTGGGCTGTGTACATGTCGCCGTTGTCGCTATCTTGCGTCTACTCCGTGTGTGATTCACATTGCCGTGAGCGCGTGGTGTCCGGTGGGGTGGTGTCTCGTGAGCCGTTTAGAGTAAGGTCGGTCTAGGCTGGGTCAGCTGCGCAGGGACCTTTCGCTGTGCGCTCGCCTGTTGGGCATTATTTATTTAATCGAGGGCAGTAGGGGGGGGTTTAGCGTTGCATCCAACGCCGCGCGCGGGCCGCTTGGTTGCTATGGTGCTTCTCGCTGTGACGTCTACACCTCTGTGCTGAATACGCTGTCGTGCCTGTCTCTCTTTACACGTGTTGTGTCCTATGTTAGCTCTATTGTGGGTCATCGCATTTGTGACAAAGTTTTGGTACGTTAGGCTGGGAGCCGGATTTACCGTGCTCCACAGTATACCGTGGTGCGATTCAGTTGTACAGGGATAAAACATTTTTTATTTTTTATTTTTTATTTTTTGTCTAGAGCTAACACACTTGAAAACTTTACATCAGATTGCAATGATACATAAGATGTCCGTGTGCGAGACCTGATGTGGCCCCCAGCTCGCCATTCCCTTCCCAGTTACCCGTCACCTGGTCATATATGTTATGTGGCCTAAGTTCTATGGGTGGATGTCTGGCCACGTCTCTGTTTGCCAATAGGGGTGTCTGCTCCCGTTGCATATCCTGTGTCGCTGCGTCTGAGTTTCGGTCGGCCGTCTTGCCCCTTTGTTTTGGTTTTTATTTTTTTATTTTTTGTGTTTTCCCCCCTCCCTCCCCTCTCCTATCCTCCCCTTCCCCCTCTCCCCCATCCCCTATACCGTCCTGTCTCCCTTGCGTGTATCCTGTCAGTCCTCGCGCTTCCTCCCTCCCCTCCCCTCAGCCTCCAAACCTCTTCTTGGTCCTGTCTCATTGGTAGCTCCTGTCTCGTCTCCCTCCCCCTACCCCTCTGTTACCCTCCCCGCTTTCCTATCTCTCCATCTCCCCCCCCCCTTGGGTCCATAGATTATATATTAAAATATTTTGCAATGTCTTAAGCGTCTTTCTTATTTGCACCTCCTGGTGCGGGTCTGCGAAGGTGGCGGCTGGTGTGCCCGTGTGCCTCTTTTGTTGTCGGTTTTTGCAAATCCCCCTATCCCCCTCCCCAAAATGTCTTGGCTCCCCCCCATGCATGGTATGTTTGGTGGAATGAGGCCCTCCTGGGGCTTGTCCTCTTGGGGTACAGTTACCCATGTTGCATGGTAGAGGTGGCAGTAAATAAAGACTTCCCCCCTCCCCTGTATTCCTTTGGTCCCCATTCCCCTCCCCAATGCTTGCCGACCTGTGTGATGTGTATGGGTGTGCCCCTTCGGTTGTTACTCACGGTTCGTTCATGCTTTTCGTTGGTGCCTGAGTCCCCTTCCCCGTCCCCCGGCTTCGCTGCGTGAAGCTTGGTTATTGCTCCCTCCTTGCTGGGCCCGGGTTCCGGTCCCGTTGCCGCTGTTGCTGTGGTCTTTGTGGGCCTGCGTTGGGTCTGCGTGGAAATTGAGGTCCTGGTACTTGTTGGAGGAACGATCTTGCCAACCAATCTGGGACCTGTTGTGGTGGGAGGCCTAGACTACGTAGGAATCCCGGGACGTCTCCCGGCTTTCTGACTATGAGTTGGTCTTGTCCGTGCCTTGCAGAGAGCGAGAACGGATAGCCCCAGCGGTATTGGATGCCTGCCTGTTGTAGGGCTGATGTCACCGGGCGCAGGGCTCTCCTGGCTTGCAGGGTGTATCTGGATAAATCTTGGTAGACGGAGATAGTCTGGCCTTCCATGCGGACGGCCCCCATGCGGCGGGCTGTGCGTAGTATTTCTTCCTTAAGGTGATAGTTGTCGAGGCAGCATATGATGTCCCTGGGCTGTTCTTCTGGCGCAGGTAGGGGTCTTAGTGCCCTATGTGCGCGGACCAGGCCAATTCTGGGTACTTGTTGGCCCCCCAGTATGTGGGTGAAAATTTGCCGAAGCACTTCTGGCACGTTCTCTGAGGGGCCCCCCTCTCTCACCCCGCGGACCCGCAGGTTCAGTCTGCGGCCGCGGTTATCCAAATCGTCAACCCACGTGGTGAGGTATGCTATATCTGCCTCTTGGGTCATAACTGCTGTGTTAGTTTGCTCTAAGTCTGTTCTCAGTGCCCTGGTCTCGGTTTCTGCCACCGCCATGCGGGCCTCCACGTTCGCCATGTCGGCGCGCAGCTGGGCCACCTCCTCGCGTACCACCCGCCCAATGCGGTCTGAGAGTGCCTCAAAATCTGACTTGGTAAGTAGGTTGGGTATGATATCCCTCCACTCACCATCTTGCTGCTGCTGCTGTGACTCTGACAGTGTTGGGGAGAACCTGGCTGGTGTGGATGGGAGTGATTCTATGATCTGGCTTGCGGCCTCCAACTCCCGTTGCGGTGTCCGCGCCCGGGGCGCAGCCTGCAGGTATGACCGGATCGTTTGATCTCCCCCGTGTCCCGGGGGTCTAGGGGTGCTGCCAGGGTCTGTCTGCCTCTTTGCGCGGCCCATCTGCGGTGTGTGGGTGTGCTGGGATGGCTTGTGTGGAGCGATTAGTGTGGGCGCCACGAGGAGCTCCGGGTTTAAGCCGCCATCTTCTTCGGCTGCCGGACACGCCATCCCTCTGGAGCTATTTTGGGCATGAAAACATGCGTGCGGTCGGTCAAAAGAGACTTTCACCTAACTTTCCAAACCGGTCTGGGTGATTTTTCGATATGTTGTTCCTCCAGATCAGGGGATATATATTTTATGTGTTTCCCATATGTTTTTGGGGTGTTTTTCAAAATTGGGTAAAAACTTGTATTTTTCGTTTGGAGATAATTGAGTTGATACAGTAATTAACTCAATTATCTCCCAAACAGAGGGGAGGGCTTGTGTACAGTAACTGGAAGTGTTCAAGTGTAAAACTCTGGTTTTATTGGATTGTGAATTTCATGTCCTGTGCCCCACAAGGTCTACCTGGGCGGAAACCTTGTGGGGGAAAAACTGTATA